AGGCAGTGCTGTGAGGTCCTGTGTGTGACTAAGTAGACAGTGTAAACCACAGCACAACCACCCGATGCAGTGCTGTGAGGCCCTGAAGTGTGTTATGATCACTGGTGCAAAGGCAAAAATATATCCAAGATACAGTTAGCCGAAAAAAGAAAGCTAATTCCACTCACATCACATATATTTAAATACATTTTGGAATTTACCTAAGTCAATACATACACAAGAATTTTAATATATAATAAATAAAATAAATAACAATTTAGCTGGAAATGGTTATCATCTGGATTTAAATTGACAAAAAATACGATTATTAGAAATTGTCACCTCTAATACATATATTTCTGTAATGTAACTTTTGTGACATGTTACCATTTCAATTAGAAGATATATCTATTAAAAAAAGCTTAAAATTTGATAACTCAGTGATTAGTTTATTATTAAACACATAAAAAATCAAAACAGGACATACTTGCTTCAGCAAACTTTTGACACTGCCAGAGACGATGTACTGACAAATGAGTTTCTGCACTATTGGGTGCGATGCTCTGTCAAGCTGTGTTAAGAAACCCAAACAAAAGCCCTAGAGAGAAAACACAAACATACATAACACTAACTGCCCTTCTGCAATGCCAGCCCAACTTAGGTTAGGAACAAGACTTAATCGCTTGGGTGGAGCTTCTTCCCAACTTCCCAGGCAATACATGTAAAGTCCTGCGATGTTGAGGACACAGCAGCTCTGATTTGAACTGTTCTGGCTGATCTGACTGACTGGCAGCCACAGGCAAACCAGCATATGCATTCCCACCCCCTCCTTCCCAGGGTGAGCCCCTCCACCCACTCCCAAGTCAAGGAAACTTTAGAAAGACCTCGTAGAGTGAGCGCTGGATGCTGCCACACGGGTTGGAAGCTGCAAACCTCAGGGCCCTGCAGAGAGTCCTAAGGCTGTAGTGAGGTCTGTGGCCAGTCCCATCCACCAATTTAGTCCCAGACTCTTTCCTCAAAGCTGTGTAAAAGCTATGAAGAAGAAAAAGTTCAGGTGATTTTATTTCCTAACAAGCATTCATTATTTTCACTTCTCTATGAAAGAACCATAGATTCTTTTAGACCAGAAATGGTCCAAAAATCAAAGCCTCTCACTCTCTTTTAAACCTTCTTTTACATATTCAGAGGCTATCTTCAAAATAAAAGGCAGAGCTATTGACTGCCTTTGGGAAATTGCGAAATGCATGGTACAATTCCTCTAGCAAAAAGGTACTGGCAGAGTTGGCTCTAATTTAAGGTACAAAATTAGTTCCTTATGATCTAGAACAGTGATGAATAAACACAGAAAATAGAACTCGTGGTGCTTTGAAAGGTACAGGTATAGCTACAATCACTAAAGACCAAATGCTAAAATGGGGGAAGAAGACATGATTGCTGTGACTGTTGTCACCACCCCACATTAGAAGTCCAACTGATGACGAGATGGGAGAGGTTCCAGACTGAAACATTAATTTGTCACGTCAACACTCTGAAATTCATGATCAGCTACCACCGGAAAATCAATTATAACCAACTATGTGTCACAGACGAACTCCAAGTTCCTCCCCAAATAGGATTTGCAACACCTCTGTGCTAGTTAGCAAGATTGTCTTTCTATTGCAAAAAAAAAAAAAAATTTTTTTTGACATTTCAGAAATGGGTTTTTATACCTGGAACACGACTACTTGTACCACTAGCATATTACAAGAGCCTCACTTCACCTAAGCCCTATCTCTCTAGCCTCCATATCTTAATTCTTAACTACATGAATATACAGTATTGTTCAAATATTCCCGGCTATCAAAAATATTCCAATTTGGGGACACAGAGTGGGAAGCCATTCCAAAGCATTTTGAACAAATGCCTCCCTGGCAAACCTATTTAAAATAGGACTCTAGGCCAGGCAATGTGGCTCACACCTGTAATCCCAGCACTCTGAAAGGCTAAAGCAGATGGATTACCTGAGTTCACGGGTTCAAGACCAGCCTGAGCAAGAGTGAGAACCTGTCTCCAAAAAAATAGTCGGGTATTGTGGCAGCTACTTATGAGGCTGAGGCAAGAGAATCACTTGAGTCCGAGAGTTTGAAGTTGCCATAAGCTATGAAGCCACAGCACTCTACCGAGGACGACAAAGTGAGACTCTGTCTCAAAACAAACAAAAAAAGAGAACTTACTTTATGATTCCTTGCACTGTGCTCTTATTCACACTCAATCCTCTTAGATAATCCACAACAAGAATTTGTAAGTCTTCTTTAGTTTCCAATTCTTCTACATAAAGTTCTGTGAATCTGTAAGAAAATTACGACGTATGTGGTAATAACCATTTATTAGAAAGTAAGTACAGTTAGGCTGACAAAGAAAAAATATAAAGAGAAAAACTTAAACTCATTTCAACAGCTTATAGTATGAAATAAAGACATCTTTCAACATGAAATACAAAATGACATAATGAAATAAAAGATAAGGTAACTGTTACCAGAAATATACCATTATTACTTCCCTGCAATAGTTTTCTCCGTATAGTCCCCAGTTCCAAAAACGAAACTTATTCACCAGCTCAGAGCCCATACCATGTGCTTATGACACCAGCCACATACACTGAGGGTGGCAGGTTCAAACCCGGTCTCTGGGCCTGCTAAACGACAGTGACAACTGTAACAAAAAAATAGTCGGGCGTTGTGGTGGGCCCCTGCAGTCCCAGCTGAGGCAAGAGAATTGCTTAAGCCCAAGAGCTTGAGGTTGCTGTGAGCTGTAAAGCCACAGCACTCTACCAAAGGTGACATAGTGAGACTCTTGGCTCAAAAAAAAAAAACTTATCCTCATTTTCAAAAAGACATTTTTTGATAAGTATATGTAAAAAAAAGAGCACATTAGAAAATAAATTCCCTCAACATCAAGAACAAAAAGGTAAGAGTAAGAGAAAACTGTTACTTTTGTGAAAGTATGTAGACAGTATAAACCACAGCACAACCACCCGATGCAGTGCTATGAGGCCCTGTGACTACGTAGACAGTGTAAACCACAGCACAACCACCCGAGGCAGTGCTATGAGGCCCGGTGACTATATAGACAGTGTAAACCACAGCACAACCACCCGATGCAGTGCTATGAGGCCCTATGACTACGTAGACAGTGTAACCACAGCTCAACCACCCGATGCAGTGCTGTGAGGCCCTGTGTGTGACTACGTAGACAGTGTAAACCACAGCACAACCACCCGATGCAGTGCTGTGAGGCCCTGTGT